TATGTAATCTTTAAGTTTTAGGAACGTAGATATTCTTGTACTCTGTTCTTAATTTCTATGGAGGAAAAGATATATCTTCTGCTGTGTGAAATATACAAATTTATAGTCCCCTTTACAGAATTGATTTCAATTTTCATGAAATAGGATTGCTATCTTTTGATTTTATTTTTTAGCATATTTCTCCATGGCATTTTTATAGTGCTGTTGTGTTTTTGTGCCACAAAGTAAAACAAGGCTGGATGAAACCGATCTGAGACCAGATTCAGCCTATTGACTGGAGACTTTTCAGATTCAGAACATGGTCTTCTACAACCCAAATTCTCAAAGAACAACAAGGGAAAGTCCGGGATGATAAGCAAAGTTGACGAGTCTCTCGTCATATGATGAGGAAGTCCCATGATTTTTCATGCTATCTGTTATTCTAACATTATTGCACATATAAATTCCTTTGCTAATCTGAAGACTTCACACAGACTTAAAAATATATTTATTTTATGACAACCAAAGTAAGACAAAGGAGAAAGCCGGGATTCATACCCCAGTATTGCCACCAATTAGCTGACCTTAAATAGTTCATTTATCTCTCTAGGCCTTGATTTTCTCCATCTGTGAAATGGAGATAATAATAGTACCTACATGTAGGGTTGTTGTAAAGACTGAATGAAGTAATTTATGTAATTGGCATATATTATCTGGTTCTGTGTAATATTCTATGGATAGTGATGATTATTATTTGAAGAATTAAGTTTTTCCTTTACTTGCTCATTTTTAAAATGTATTTGCTCCAACATTTGCTAGGTCTCAAGGCCCCGCTTTTCAAAATGATTTTTATAACTGCCCACTGCAGGATTAGGTTAGTGAATTTTCAAGACTTCTTTCAGATTTCCCAGCATTATGTCATTTTTTTCTTTGAATTCAACATCACATTTTTGTGTTTTATGTATAATGTTTCCATTTAGGACAGTATCATTGTGGAATAAAACACAAATTTTGCTTGTTTAATATAACCTTAACTCTCACCTACCTGGGCTTTATAGAAATTGTTCATTCTAGTCCAGCCTAGGCGATATTGTAGAAATACTTTATACACTAACTCTGATCATTTCACCAATGGTTAATAAATCCATAATATCCAGATCTGTCAATCTTTTTGTTTCAAATGCACAAAACCCATAACAGAAATCATGTAATATATGGAAAGATTAAAATCTTAAATTAAACCTTTTTCCTAGTGCCTAGGAGGATTTCCAACTCTGCAAACAGTCAGATAATTTTAACTTGTGTATAATCTACAGTTGATTTTATTGGAA